GGAGCTCATGAAAATCCACAAGATGAAGGTCATAGCCATGTGAGGAGCCCACCGGAAGTCCAGTCAAAGGTGGTGTAACTGCTCCATGGTTAGAACGAGCGCCCTGGCAGATGTCCATCCTCCAAAATGTTTCCAGCTCCACACCAATGTTCCAAATTCAATATTTCTTTGTTTTAAATCTCTCCATGAAGAGTCAGTTTTTACACAATCATCTGTCTGGGCCTTCCATACAGCTCCAGGGTGACAGGTGGAGCAGATGTGTTGGTAGCAGCAGCTCTCCTTTGCTGCATTAATAACGATTCAGTTTGAACATGCACAGAACATACAGTATGTTTTTATCTGGACAGCAGTGGGAATGTGACATTTTCAGCAAACTTCTCTGGTAAAAGGTGAAGTAATAAAAGTTTCCTGTTGCTCTGAGCATCGTAATTACCGTAACCCCATCTCTCTGCCTTCTGCAGGTGCTGTTAGAAATATTGTCTGGACTCCCTCCAGCTGATGAGAACAAGGAGCCACAGTTCTTGGTGAGCTGCACAAAAGAAGCTTTTTAGTCTTTTTTTTAATCTAGCTTTGGCTTGAGTACAGTTTTTATTTAAGTCCTACTTAATAGGTAAGAACTCATTTTATGTGAAGTTCGTAGCACTAATTTTGTTTCTCTTTCCTAGATGGAGATAAGGTATGATATAGATGATGAAGATGAAGAGCTGACTCTAGAGGAGTTTGTGGATAAGGAGATGAGAGACTGGGAGCTGAGTCAGGTGGAGACGATCTATTGTTTGGCGTCGAACTGCTTGCATGATCGAAAAAACAGACGCCCAGTCATCAAACAGGTACAGTGAGGGGAAGGAATGGAAGACGTTTAGGTTTAAAGGTAAAAAAAAGAAATTCTTGATGGCAAAAGTTCTGATATGCTGCCAAGTTTCCACACAGCAAAAACTATATTAAGATCCAAAACTTTGCAGATTGAAGTTTTGTTTTTATGAGATAGATGGATAGATATAGATATCAGAATACACAAATTTGGAAAGACAATATATACAGTGTCTTGCGAAAGTATTCGGTCCTCTTGAACTTTTTAACCTTTTGCCACATTTCAGGCTTCAAACATAAAGATATACAATTTAAATTTTTTGTGAAGAATCAACAACAAGTGGGACACAATCGTGAAGTGGAATGAAATTTATTGGATGTGTCAAACTTTTTTAACAAATAAAAAACTGAAAAGTGGGGCGTGCAATATTATTGGGCCCCTTTACTTTCAGAGCAGCAAACTCACTCCAGAAGTTCAGTGAGGATCTATGAATGATCCAATGTTGTCCCAAATGAATGTTGATGATAAATAGAATCCACCTGTGTGTAATCAAGTCTCTGTATAAATGCACCTGCTCTGTGATAGTCTCAGGGTTCTGTTCAAAGCGCAGATAGCATCATGAAGACCAAGGAACACACCAGGCAAGTCCGAGATACTGTTGTGGAGAAGTTTAAAGCTGGATTTGGATACAAAAAGATTTCCCAAGTTTTAAACATCCCAAGGAGCACTGTGCAAGCAATCATATTGAAATGGAAGGAGTATCAGACCACTGCAAATCTACCAAGACCCGGACGTCCCTCTAAACTTTCATCTGGAACAAGAAGACTGAACAGAGATGCAGCCAAGAGGCCCATGATCACTCTGGATGAACTGCACAGATCTACAGCTGAGGTGGGAGAGTCTGTCCATAGGACAACAATCAGTCGTACACTGCACAAATCTGGCCTTTATGGAAGAGTGGCAAGAAGAAAGACATTTCTCAAAGATATCCATAAAAAGTGTTTAAAGTTTGCCACACGCACCTGGGAGACACACCAAACATGTGGAAGAAGGTGCTCTGGTCAGATGAAACCAAAATCAAACTGTTTGGCCACAATGCAAAATGATATGTTTGGAGTAAAAGCAACACAGCTCATCACCCTGAACACACCATCCCCACTGTCAAACATGGTGGTGGCAGCATCATGGTTTGGGCCAGATTTTCGTCAGCAGGGACATGGAAGATGGTCAGAATTGATGGGAAGATGGATTGGGCCAAATACAGGACCATTCTGGAAGAAAACCTGTTTGAGTCTGCAAGAGACCTGAGACTGGGACGGAGATTTATCTTCCAACAAGACAATGATCCAAAACATAAAGCCACATCTACAATGGAATGGTTCACAAATAAACATATCCAGGTGTTGGAATGGCCAAGTCAAAGTCCAGACCTGAATCTAATCGAAAATCTGTGGAAAGAGCTGAAGACTGCTGTTCACAAACGCTCTCCATCCAACCTCAATGAGCTCGAGCTGTTCTGCAGGAAGAATGGGCAGAACTTCAGTGTCTCCATGTTCAAAACTGATAGAGACAAACCCCAAGAGACTTGCAGCTGGAACTGCAGCAGAAGGCGGCGCTACAAAGTATTAACACAAGGGGGCCCAATAATATTGCACGCCCCACTTTTCAGTTTTTAATTTGTTACAAAAGTTTGACACATCCAATAAATTTCATTCCACTTCACGATTGTGTCCCACTTATTGTTGATTCTTCACAAAATTTTAAAATTTTATATCTTTATGTTTGAAGCCTGAAATGTGTCAAAAGGTTGAAAAGTTCAAGGGGGCCAAATACTTTTGCAAGGCACTGTACATGCACAAGGTGGTAGGGAGTACAACATTCATGATTAACCTATATACAGTATATGTATACATATACATCTAAGCATACATACACATATACATGTATATACATATGCATATGTACATGTATACAGTATATACACATAAGTGTCCAGGTGCTGCAGATGTACATGGCTCTTTTCTTACTGTATGGGGAGGAGTTAACAGTTTAATGTCTTGAGGAACAAAGGACTTCCTGAATCTGTGGAGCAGGACTGGAACAGCATCTACCACTGAAGGAGCTCCTCTGCTTCATGATGGTGCTGTGCAGAGGATGGTCAGCATTGTCCATGATGGATAGCAGCTTACTGGGGGCCCATTTCTCTGTCACTGATGTAAGGGACTCCAGCTCTGCTCCCAGCACAAAACCAGCTTTTCTCACCAGCCTGTCAAGTCGCCCAGCATCTCTCCTCTTAATCCTGCCTAACACACTGAGGAGAAGAGGACACTGGCTACCGCAGACTGGTAGAACATCAGCAGTAGTTTCCTGCAGATACTGAAGGACCTGAGCCTCCTCAGGAAGTAGAGCCTGCTCTGACCCTTCCTGTAGAGATACACAAGAGTGGAAGGAACGAAGGGACAGGTGTAAAGGAACAATAAAATGGTGTTAAATATCACACTAGAGATTTACTGGTTCCTGTATATGGGTTTATTTGTTCCTGCTAAAATAAGCTTCCTCGGTAGGGTGGCTGAATGCAATCTTAGGTGAGGCACCTTCCATCTAACTGGGAGCACAGAGTAGATCTGAGGTGGTTCAGACATCTCATTAGAATACCACTCCAGGTTTTCCCATTGATAGAACATCTGCATCTTAACATGCATCCAACCCACAAGGCTAAAAAGATGTAATACTTCTCAAAAGGATTAGCTTTTGGGGATGTATAAAACAAAATAAATGTGTATGTTCTCATCATTGTCTGTCTCTGCAGGTCCTTTCAGAGATCCACAGTGTTGTCAAGAACATTTCACTGGATTCTGAAGAGCAGAAGTGAAGACTGGCCTCCCAGTAAGACCACCTGTGCCAGACTCAGTCCTCTGCCAGTTTTTGTATTCCAAGTTGAAGAAAAACATCAAATGTTATTTCCTGGCTGCAACAGAATTTCAGCATCAAAATCAGCTCCGTACTGTAATTTTTGCCTTTTTTTTTTTTTTTTAATGCAGTTTTTACGAGTCGTGTGGTTTTACTTGTAAAAGTATTTATGTATTGAAGTGTGCCGTAATATTACTGAACATCTGCTTTTGTTTAATTAGCAAGCAATTTGTGTTATGTTTTCTTTGGATGAATAAAAAGAATGACCACGTTTGATTTAAATATTTTAATTTTCTTTAAAAGAAAAGATTTGTAAGAAAACAAATAAGACCCAACATGATTTTCTACAGAATGAATGAACATGAAGGAAATTTCCCACTACACATGAGGTGAACTTGGTAGTTTGCCTAATATTTATCAGTAGACAAGTGAGTGTGGCAACATTGTGAAGATATTTAGTTTTCCCTTTCCTATCCATTCTTTGTGGAAAACAAATTGAGCAGCTTCCCCTAAAGAAATCTGAGAAGAATTGATGTAATATTTGTGGAAGCCCGTTCCTTTCTCTAATCCTCACTGACGATCACAGAACACACCGTTTCTTAGTCACAGAGCATCACAGCTACAATATGTACATTTACAGCACTTGCATAGAAAAATAAGTTTCTCAGCAGATGATTTTTTTTATTATTTTTTTGTAAACCACAGTTATATCAAAAGAGGATTCATTTTCCATTAAAAAATGGAGCTGTTAAAATGAACAAAATAGACATAAGTTGGAATATTTATATATTTTTTCTGCTTTGGAGCACCTCATTGTGCGAGACAAATGAAAATTAACTGACAGACTTTAGAACGCCATTCAGGAAATCAAGCGTGTGAGCTCAAATTAGGAACATCATCGTACTGGCAAGAGTTCACATTAGTCACACTAGCATTGTTTTGTTTAAATGGCCAAAGGCTGGCAAAGTAAAAACCTCAACTTTGACTTCAGGACCACCTCTTGGATCATTACGCTTTTTTGTGAAACAGACAAAATATGCTTCCATTTGGCAAGCTATAAACGGAAATGGTGATGCGTGTCGTTGCTCAGTTGTCCTTGGCGTGCATAGTTTGGTCTGTTGAGGAACTCTGTGGCAATCTGATATATACATACATATATATATTTCTTTTTTTTTTTTTT